TTTCTTACTTTGACGATAGCTTCCATGCACTCAGGACAAAGACCCCATTCCCAGCTATACAGGATCTGGCCAGAGCCATCTCTCCAGCCTTACCTCTCCTCTCCCGCGGGGCTCTAGCCACAGCTGCTGGCTTTCAGCTCCTCCACAGCACCAGTCCGGGAGCCATCTTCCCTTCTCTTCTCCTAGGTAATCTTAACTTTTTCGGGGAACTTCTCCTTCCTTCACTATCCTCTTGCCTTGCATCCTGTACTTTGACTTTGTAGCAGTTGTAACAATCATAATTAATTAATTACATAAAGTTTGGCTTTTCAACTAGAATGTGAACTATAAAAGATTAGGAATCAAGTCTGTCTTGTTTATCTGATCTTCTAGTCCCTAAAATGAGGCATTTCCCTAGATGCTGCTCAATAACTTGCTATTGTTGAATAAAAAAAAATTAGTGGTGGGGGCGAAACAAAAAGAGAAAAAAATCCTTGCTGTTATTGAGCTTATATTCTATTGGGACAAGATCTGCTAAGCAAGATAAGTAAACTACATGGTATGTTAAATGGTGGTAACTAAGGAGAAAAAAGTAAGGCAGTGAAGGAGGACACGAGGCATTGGGAGAAATTTTTACACTGGGTGACCAGGGAGTACCTCACTGAAAATCTGACTTTTGAACAAAGACCTGAAGGAAGTGAGGCAGATGAAAATGTGGTCATCTGGGAGAAAGAGCATTTCAGGCAGACAGAACAGCAAGTGCAAAGGCCCTGAGGTAGAAGGGTGACAGTTCCAGAAACAGCAAAGAAGCCAGTGTGACTGAAGTATAGGGACCTGGAGACAGAATGTGGTCTTTCAATCTGTGCTATTTATAACAGTGGAGTTATTTACATGAGACACTTCTTGGGGAGCACTTCTAACCAGCATTTATTCTAAAACCATGGGTTTCAAATAATTTTTAAAGCAGTAGAAGCCTCTCTTGAAATGAAACACGAAATAGGAACAGGGCAGGGGCTGTCAGCTCCCACTTGTCATTTCCCACCGTGATGGTTCAAAGCCACACTGTAGAGGAAGGTTTGCCCCCCACCCAGCTAGGGTTGAAACCGTGACTCTAGAGCCACAGTCTGCCTCCCTGCTCAGAGCCGGGCCTTCTACAGCACACTGCTCCAGAAGGAGTCTTGTCAGGCTCCTGTCACTCCAAGGAGACTTTCAATAGATGATTTAACTCCAACATGGGAACGAAAACTAGAGCCTCTACAGTTACAACCACATGGTGACGTGTGGGTCTGATATGTTCCTAGAAATTAGTTCTCTATACTGAAACTTTTTTTCTTAAAAACATGTTTAAAACTATGTCTTTTTCTGAAAAGGTAAAACAGTTCAAAGATTTTTAAAAAAGCCACTAAAAAAGTCAGCCTCCTATGAATGACGACTCAATTACCTGTATCTGCAACGGAATTCTATACACTGAAGCAAACAAAGAAAAGTGAACTACTGATGTAGGCAACAGTGTGGATGAGCATCACAATTACTACGTTGAGAAAAGGGTGCGGACTATGAGTACACACCGTATGACCCATGTATGTGACCTTTACCAACAGGCAGAGCTCGTCTTTGGTAACAGAAGGGGAAACAGTGGTTACCTGTGAGGAAGGGATGAGAGGGGGACAATGGCCTCTACCTTGATCTAGGTGGAGGACACAAAGGGTTAGTGGGTACACACAAAACTGCAAATGATTTGTGCACTTTACATAAATGACAATAAAGTCATTTTCCTTCCCACTGCCTGTGGCCCCCAGCTACACAGTCCTCTCCCCCTAGGCCACTTCTCCAGCTGGGATATTTTACCACCCTTTTTCTCTCCGGACCTTCACACCAGGGGTGGAGTCCTGGAAGCACGCCAGGCAGACACCAGAGGCCAAGGCTTTGGGCACCAGGGCTTGGCTTTCCCTGTCCCCTTTGGCCCTCTGCTCCATGCCTCCCTCCTCCTCTTCCTCCTTTCCTTCCCCCCTTTCTGAGAAGGCAGGTCGCAGAGAGTGGTCAGGGGGTTGCTGACCCTTGCTGTCCCTCCTGGCCCTTTAGGGTGTGCCTGCCTAGAAAGGACAGCATGTGCTGATCAAATTAGAGTTGACACACTCCCTCCCTTTCATTCTCTGGCTTCTGATCCCCGGACTAATCCTAGGACTTCCTGCTCCCCGGGCACTCTGTCTCAGTAAGCTTCCCTTCCATGGGGCAGTCCTGGTAATAGCCCACTTTGTGTTTACACGTTAACAGGGACTATCACAGTGGATGCTGAGGACGTCTTCTCTATTCCCTCTAGACCCTTCTCCCCACCCCACCCCCAAACTCTATGCAGCATTCTCTGACCTGTCCCTACCCCCACCCAGGGCTTCAGCCCAGCCCAGCCTTTGATCATCTGGGGTCCTATCCCCACCAGGTCTACCCAGTGCCTGAGGGCAGAGGGGCCTGAGTCAGGTTCAAGCCCATTAGGCTGGCCTTAGAGCAGGGCAGGCCCAGTTATGAAAGTTCTCAACGCAGTATTTTGTTGTTTTTTAAAAATTGCCTTTATTGTTGAAAGTATTACAGATGTCGCCCTTCCCCCCCGAGCCCAGCACTTTGCATTGGTCCTTCTCAAGCGTCAGGCACTGACCTGCGTGCTTTTCGTGCGCACGTCTTAGGATTCTCCAAACAATCCGAGGGGAGGTGACTAGCCCCACTTTGGAGGTGAAGGAGCTGGGGCCCAAGGTTTGCCCGCTGGCACGTGGCCGCCAGGATTCCAACAGCTCCTTCCGAGGGAAACGCCCCATCTGGCCCGGGGCAGGCTGCGGCGGGCCGGGCCGGGCGGGCGTCCAGCCCGCGACCTCCAC